TATATATATATACAGAATTGAAGGCAGTGTACTTGCTTGTCCATACATTTGTTTTATTATTTTCTTCACCATTTTGCTCTTTGATTTCTCTTAATAATAACATCACATATGTCTTTTTACATCTCCTTCTTTCTCTCTTTGTAACTCGTTCCTCTCAGCAGTGCATCTCTTTTACTCTTCCATCATCTCTTCCCTCACCCTCCCATATGATCTCTTCTCAAATTCCGTCTCCTTTGACCTTTCCCTCTGACGTTCCAATGCTTTAACTCTGCGCTCCCCTGTGTGATGGATGGTGGGGGTCAGTGTGCAGCCTCTGACAGTGATAGCCTCTGTCACTGTGCATCGCTCCGGCTGTTAGCGTTACACCACACCACACCACCCCCCTCCCCTCGGCTTTATCGGCACTCTACTCAGGTCATTGACTAAAGTCTACAGGAGTGGGTGAAGAGTTTTTTTCGCTTCTGGCTCCCTCCGATCTGAAGCAACAGGGGGCATGATACTGATGGAGGGAATAGGCAGCGCTTGAACTGTTTTAAAAGCTTTCCTCAAGCCATTCAACATTTTTCTAAAATAGTATCCACAGGCAGCTATATGATTTCAGTAAGGCGCATGAATTTAGGGAAGAAATGGTCAGGATTTATAGTGAATTTATACAACTCATGCAGGGCCTTAGCCAAATGTACTCCTTGTGTTGGCATTACATTTAGGAAATGTAATTAGACTAACTTGGACACAGATTAAATTAATTGAGTTCTCTCTTTGCGTTTTGTCTGGTTTTACTTCCTGTCCTTGTGTTTTTTTTGCCACCTAAATTCACATTTTGTTGGAACTACCTGCCATCTTCTTTTTTAGTGCTTGTGGGTCTAACATCCTGCTCAATCCTTACACACAGCCTGTGTAAAACCTACAATGTGGACAAGACACAATACAGTAAATAATTCAGATTATTTTAACCCATCCATCAAAGCATCTGATGGACGGCTTGTGCTCAGGAGGCAGAGCAGGTTGTCCAGTGATTGGCTGTTTGAAGCGAACCCCAAATTGCTCCCGGTGACCGGCCATGATAGTGTGCTGCCTATGTAGGGAACATCTGTGTGTGTGGTTCAGGTATTGTAAAGTTATTTGGCTAAAGGTTCCATATAAACACAATCCAGTTAAAAAGATGCTGCTAAATATTTGTCATGATCTTAGTTTTTTTATTTAATGTTTCCCATTTTATTTTGAAATATATTTTCTATTTTTGTCTGGTTTTAACTTCCTGTCTTTTTGTTATTTCACCTGTGTCTGATTAGCCCTTTTGTAATTTCTCACAATAAACTCCTATCCTCGTGTCTTAGTCCCGCCCACAGGAGATGCGAGCGGAGGAGTCGAGGAGGGGAACCGAGGAGAGGAGTTGAAACAACAAACGTTTAGAGAAATTAGAAATCCTCTCCTCTGAGTGGTCATTAATGACTCGGCATAACTGTGCAATTAGAGAAATGAGAGATGGTGCGCTGACATCGATTTCCGGGTCACTACCGAGGACTCGAATAGTCAAGGAGTTGAGGATGCGAAAATGAGGGAAATTAGAAAGGGCTATTGTCTGATTGTGTTCTCCTGCTGCTCTTGTGTT